CACGCGGTCGGGCCCCGCCGCAGGCCCCGGAGGTGCGTCGGCGGTGGCTCCAGGCGGCGCGTGCGGTGCTCGGTGTCCCTTCCTACGCCGACCACGCAGTGCCCGGCTTCCTCCACGCACTGGCCCTGTGTCTCCGGAGAGCCGGTGGCCCGGGACTGCAGACCCTTCCCAGGGGCTTGCACTCGCGACATCTGTGCATCTGGCTCTGGCCGTTCACTTTTACCTCCTGTCTTTTCAGATAGTTTCGAAGTGTTTTTTCTTTCAAATGGCAGAAACATTTCCGTCTGAGTGCTTAAAGTGACATTAAAAATGTGTTTGATGTTTTTTTTTTTTTATCTCCTCACCATCGTGCTCCTATCTGTAGAATATCATCCTTGTCTCTTCAAAAAAAAAAAAATAGCAGTGCCAAGAACATAGGAGCTCACGCCTGTGATCCCAGCGGTTTGGGAGGCTGAGACAGGAGGATCACAGGTTCAAAGGCAGCCTCAGCAAAAGCGAGGTGCTCAACAACTCAGTGAGACCCTGTCTCTAAAAAAAAAATACAAAATAGGGCTGAGGATGTGGTTGAGTGGTCGAATGCCCCTGGGTTCTATCCCCAGTATCAACAAGGGGGAAAAAAAAAAAGAATATGAAATAGTCAGGCACAGTGGCACAGGCCTAGAATCCCAGTGACTCAGGAGGCTGAGGCAGGAGGATTCCAAATTCGCCACTTTCGACAACGTTGTTTCAAACAACGTTTATTGATTTCCATATGTTGCATTAAACTTGCACCCCTGGGATGAACCCCACTGGATCGAGGTGCACTCTTTTTAAGATGTTTTTGTATGCGATTTGCCAGAATTTTATTAAGAATTTTTGCATGTGTTCATCAGGGATGTTGGTCTGAAGTTTTCTTTCTTTGAGTGTCTTTGTTTGGTTTTGGTATCAGGGTGACTTTAGCCATATAAAATGAGTTTGGAAGGGTTCCCTCCTTGGAGGAATATTGGTGTTGATTCTTCTTTGAAGGTCTTATAGAACTGACTGAGAATCCATGTGGTCTTGGGCTTTTCTAGGTTGGTAGGCTTTTGATGGTGTCTTCTGTTTCCTTGAAAGTTGATCGGTTGAGATCATGTATGTCCACCTGGTTCAGTTTGGGTAGATCGTATGTCTCTAGAAATTTGTCAATATCTTCAAACTTTTCTATTAAATTTTCAAAGTAGTTTCTAATTACCTCCTGTGTTTCAGTAGTGTCTATCATGACATTGCCTTTTTCATCACATATTTTATTGGGTTTTCTCTTTCTCTTCATTAGCATGGCTATGGGTTTATCAATTTTATTTATTTTTTCAAAGAACCAGCTTTTTGTTTTGTCAGTTTTTTGAATTGTTTCTTTCAGTTTCATTGATTTCACCTCTGAATTTAATTATTTCCTCTCTTCTGCTTTTGGTGTTGATTTATTCCTGTTTTTCTGGGGTTTTGAGATGTAATGTTAGGTCATTTAGTCATTAACTTTTTATTCTTTTTTTAAACATATTTTTAGTTGTAGATGGACATAATGTTTTATTTATTTATTTTTTATGTGATACTGAGGATCAAACCCAGATCCTCACATGTGCTGAGTACTTTCTCTACCACTGAGTTACAGCCCCAGCCAGACTTTTTATTCTTTTAACAAATGAGCTCAATGCAATGAACTTTCCTCTTAGTACTGCCTTCATAGTGCCCCAGAGATTTTGACATATTATATTGGTATTCTCACTTACCTTTGAGTATTTTTTTTAATCTCATCCATGATTTCTTCTGCTGTCCATTCATCATTCGGTAGAGTATTGTTTAGGGGCAGGAACTGTAGCTCAGTGGCACCCTTCTCGGATGGCGGAGCTGGGAGCGCCCAGCTCTCTCCACTCTCTCCAACCTGTGCTTCCCCAGGCGGAGTGCTCCCAGCCTGACTTTTCACAGGATTGCCTGACCCAGGCTGGCCATGCAGACCCTGTCACTCTCTGACAGATCTGGGCTTGTCGCAGTTCCCAAGGTCTCAGTGCCTTCCAGCTTGCACAGAAGCCACCAGGGATGCACTCACCAAAGGAGTAACTCTAGGAAGAAGCAGCAGGTAGACCTTAGGTCAGCCAAACCCTCAGGCACCCCAACACTGGTCCTGCAGGCCCTGGCCAGTGTCCCTAGACAGAGTCGGCTGTGCCCCGGTGGCAGCAAACCTTCAGGTACTCTGGCCCTCAAGGCCCTGGACTGTGTCCCAGGAGGGAGGTGGCCACATGCAACCCCACCTCCAGGCACTCTGCAGTGGACCGCTGGGTGGCAGCGGCAGCCCCCTCAAGGGCACTTTTTGCCTGACCCCTACTCCCAACCAGCGTCGGCTTCATTCTGGGCACCTTCTTCCTCATTTCCACTTTATTTTCTTCTCTTTTTCACTGTTGTTCATTTGTGATTTTATCTGTGGACTCACAAAGTCCAAGGTATTATCTCTCTTGTGCTCTCTGGTATTCCATAGTACCCAGGTCATTTGTTGGAATAACAGGGCCTGGTAAGTATCAATATAATAAAAAGCACCTTTCTAGAGAGATTCGGTTACCTTGGAAGAAACCCTCCCCCCATTTTTTTCCTGTTTGTATGAATTGAAAAGTTTATTTGAAATGAAATCTGAAATCAGAGGTCACATCAACTTGTAAGCCTCAAGCAGAGTCTTACTGTTGAAATTGTTCGCCATGCCACAAGATGAAATTTAAACTCCTCAATATGGCTTATAGTGTCCCTTTTGTTGGGGCCATGGCATTTAGCTCTTCAGCGTGGCTCTTCACTTCATGCTCTACTTCCTAAACTACTTTACCTTGCCAACAATTGAACCCAGGGCACTTAACTACCAAGCCATATCCCATGTTCCCATCCCTTTTTTATGTTCCATTTTAAGTTGCTGAGACTGGCTTTGAACTTGCCATCCTCCTGCCTCAGCCTCCCGACCTGCCGGGATTACACATGTGCCCAAGCTGCCCGGCTTTCCATAACCTGAACAGTCTGTCATGCCCCGGGTTTCCACACAGTCTCTTCTGCGTTTCTGGATCTGCCCCATATCCCTCCCCTCTTACTCCTGGCTTAACTTCTGTTCAGTCTTCAGATCTGTTTGGACATCCAAGGCTGGATTCAGTAGGTGTCCCCGTATGGGCTACCATGATGTCCTTGACCTGCTTCCCTTCCATCAGTGCTGCCACATGGTGACCACTTGTTCACCTCCTCCATAGACTATGGACCCCAAGAGCAGCAGCCAGGCTTTCTTGTTCACCATTCTGTGGCAGGATCTGGCATAAATAATCAATATGATACATATTAAATGAAAAAAATATTGAATCTACAAATGATTCAAGAAAGGTGTCTTTTCCAGCTGGTTCCTTAATAAGTATCTTACTAATGGTCATCTTTTCTGTTTATAGATAATTTTTAAGCTAGAGGTCATTTTTATAAACTTACCTGTTTTGAACCCTCTTACAGTCATAAACCTTATCAGTTGCAGAGTACACTCTAAATCCCAAGGTTAAGGCTCTCCTCTGTACAAGTCTCAAAGTATTTTTTTTTTAATCTGTGCACTTTCCATTTTATTTGCAAGCTTTTTGAAATTGTCTTTTCCTTCTGCATACTTCTTGGGTCCCCTATAATCTTGCCAGAATTCACATGATATACCTTGGATGTAATAAATTATCCAGGTCCTCTTTTTTCCCCCCCCTTTCTTTCTGAAAGAAACAGGGCCTCACTGTGTTGCCAAGATTGGCCTCAAACTCAGAGGCTCAAGCACTCCTTCTGACTCAGCCCTGTGAGTAGCTGGGACTAAAGGTGAGGCACACTCCACTGTGCTCAACTCCAGTTACTGTGTGTGTGTGTGTGTGTGTGTGTGTGTGTGTGTGTGTGTGTAGTTTAAAAGTTTTTGTAAACTTTCTTTGTCAGTGGGAAAGGAGCACACAATAAAACATGAAAAGTGTATATTTAGTTCTGTTCCCCATCTCATCATACAAATTTATAATTTTTGCTTGTTTTCCTTATCTAAAGTTCCATTTTAGAATGATCTCGTTGATTTTTTTTTTAATCCACCTGCACACCACTCCTAGCCCTAATTACTAAACTTCTCCACCTTCAATCATGCCTTCATGTATCATATAATCATGACCTCTAAACTCTGAACTTAATGTCACACTGGCCAGCGGGCCTCCTAGATAATCTAGAATTTTTTTCTTCTAATCTCTTTGCTTCTCTCCTTTTCTACTTAGTCTGGATTAATGGATCCCAAGTTACCTTCTTGTGCTCTCTTTTTCCTTTACCTTCCTACGAAAGTCCACATTTGGATCACTGTTTTAGCTTGTACACTATTGATTCAGGGGCCTGAAGGCTGCTGTAGAAAATCATATACAGTGTCCAGGTTGCCAATGCCACAAGCTTAACCCTCACCGTATTGACTCATTCGCTTTCATGACTAGTTGTTTGTTCCACCCCTTATGATTTCTCTGGATCTTTATCACTTTCCTCAAAGCCCCTGTTCTCCACGCTCACCTTGTAGCAGATGTTCTTGCCTCCTACTTAGTCAACAGTGACCAAAAGACTGATCTCCTTTTACTTCCTGCATTTTAA